GCCGGCCGGCTGTGCCCACCAACCGGCTGCCCCGCGGGAACTCCGTGCCCACACCGGCGTCCGAGTTTTGTCTGCCTTTGGGGGTTTCTGCCCACTTCCTGGGCCCTCGTGAGAGCCGGACTTGCATGTGGCCGTCGGGCCCTCTGATCTTTCTGGTTTCTGTCGGCCCCGCTCCTGGACCCCACACCCGCCAGGGCTTTTTCCTCAAGTGCCCCCGGGGTCCCCCTCCCCGCCTCTCTCCACAGGTGTGTCGGTCTGAGGATGCATCTGAGAGAAGAATAATTCTTTGCTTTGGGGCTGAATGGGGCTTTCTCTGTATTATTAAAGTCACAGGCCAGGTCCAAGGCTGCATTTACTGACCCATGGGGGTGGGGTGGGGTGGTGTGTGTGTGTGTGTGTGTGTGTGTCAGAGACAGAGAGTGTGTGCCCCCAGGGTTCTCCTGCCCATGCAGACAGCTCCCCTCCCTGATGTGTTCAAACAGGCCCCTGTGTCTGTGTGCCATTGACATAAAAATGTGAGGAATGCAGGCCCCCAGGGAAGAAGTGGCCAGGTGCTGGGGGGGAGGGGCCCTCACCTTGACCTCTGGTGATCCTGATTCTCCACCAACACTCCCCAGGCCGCCTGATGGACATCCTGCGTTGCCGGGGCAAGAGGGGCTACGAGGCCTTTCTGGAAGCCCTGGAGTTCTACTACCCTGAGCACTTCACCCTGCTGACCGGCCAGGAGGCTGCTCAGCGTTGCTCCATGATCCTGGGTGAGTGCAGCTGGGGGTAGGGGCCAGGGGCCAGGGGGCAGGCACTGAGCACAGGCTCTTCACCCCATCCTTGGGAGGCACTCCCATTATGCCTGCTGAACAGACAGGGGAACTGAGGCACAGAGAGAGCTGATGCAGCCTGTCCAAAGTCTCAGGGCACATGAGGCTGGTGTCCTAACCCAGCTGGCCCCCAGGCTTAACCTGACTCTTCCTGAAGAAACAAAAAAAACAAACGTTCAGGAGGACCCACTCAGATTTAGGGATATTTATGTTTCTTGTGTAAAATAGTCAAACACCGCAGGAGACTTTAGAATCAGAAGATAAAACGCACACACATATGGAAATTAAGTGACCGGTTATCCACATGGTCAGCAGTTCGAAAACACCCAAACCACCAGCGCCTCCTGTGGGGAGCGGGCAGAGACTGGGCTTTCTACTCCAGTAAACAGCTACAGCCTCGGAAACCCACAGGGGGCCGCTGTGAGTCAGCACTGGCTCCATGGCAGGGAGTTAAAGAACTCAAGAGAAATAGAAAAGGGCTTTACCAGGAGACCTGCTCTTCTTCCCCCAGCTCTGCACTGCTGGCAGAGTTTGGAGAACCCCCTTTTTCTTTGCATTCGTAGACTCATAGATGGGGTTGAGGGGATCAAGCACAGAGGATCCCCTTACAGATGATGTGTTGGATACAGGCTCGAGGGAGCTTGGCCAGCCTATCTACATACATTGGATGCAGGCCATCCCCCCAGGGAAACCCATTACATCAGATCGCAAAACCAAGGCCTGACCAAAGTGACATATATTAACCATAACAGGGATTCTGAGAAGTATAGTTCAAGAATGTGTGTGTGTTTTAAATATGAAACCAATGTACTTCCCACCAGCAGTGTGTGAGAGCTTTCTCTGCTCTATTCTCATGAACTCTGAATATCACTTGAAAGTATTTTGACCAATATAGGAAACCATAATATGTATTACTGCCTTAAATTTGTGCCTGAGAGATGCAGTTCACTGCTTGCTGGCTAGCGAATCTTGGGCAAATGACCTTTTCTGAGTCTTAGTTTCTGTCTGTCTTTTTTTTTTTTTTTTAATCATTTTATTGGGGCTCAGACAATTCATCACAATCCATACATATATCAATCGTGTAAAGCACACTTACACATTTGTTGCCCTCATCATTCTCAAAATTGACTTTCCTCTTGGGTTCCTGGGATTAGCTCCTCATTTTCCTTTTTCCCCTCCCCTTCCCTCCCCGATAGTTTCTGTCTTTCAAAGTGGTGTAACTATAGTAATAGTAATACTATACAGCATTGGCATGCAGCTTAAATAAGTGTGTTCATGAATCTAACGCAGAGGATGAAGTCAGCAAACCTTAGTGGCTATTGTTATCGTCGCTGAGGAGTGTGAGCATGTGTTTCTTTGTTGATTAGGCATTTATATTGTGAGATATTGATAGCTTTTGCCTATTGCTGGTAGGTTGCTTGCCTTTTTCTTATTTGTAGGCACTTTTTTAATATTATAGATTGTAAGCGACAGAGCCTCTGTTCTATATCAATGAATATTTCCATCAACTCCATTGTTGTCTGTTAACTTTGTTGATTGTATCTGTCATCACTTAGAGATTCCTTTTCCCCCCTTTTCTCTTATGGATTAGGGATTCGCCCATCTTTTCTCCTAGGGCTCCTGGATTTTGTGCCCTGTGTAGGAAGGTGTCCCCCACCCTCAACATTATGAAAACATAGTCCAGAGTTTTCTTCTAGCATGTTTATGGTTTGTGTTTTTCTGTGCCGTCTGCTATCCCCTTGCATTTCATTGACCTGACCTGGATTTCCTCTCCCCTGCAAACCCCTCGCCCCCAAACCCATAGATGAGGAGGGACCTGAGGGCTTGACCCAGTTCCTGATGACAGAGGTCCGGCGGCTGCGGGAGGCTCGCAAGGGCCAGCTGCAGCGGGAGCAGCAGCTGCAGGCCAGGGGCCGGTTGCTGGAGGAGGAGCGGGCAGGGCTAGAGCAGCGCCTGCGAGAGCAGCAGCAGGCCCAGGAGCGCTGCCAGCGGCTGCGGGAGGACTGGGAGGCCGGCAGCCTGGAGCTGCTGCGGCTCAAGGACGAGAACTACATGATCGCCATGCGCCTGGCGCAGCTCAGCGAGGAGAAGAATTCGGCTGTGCTCCGGAGCCGAGACCTTCAGCTGGTGGTAAGCCCTGGTTGGGTGGGTGGGTGGACAGGCAGAGAGGGGGCAAGTCTCTGCAGAAAATCATGGCACTATAGTAGCCAACTAATGGAATCCTGGTGGCATGGCGGGTTACCCATTGTGATGCTAACCACAAGGTCAGCAGTTCGAACCCATCAGCCGCTTCCCAGGAGAAAGATGAGGCTTTCTACTCCTGTAAAGAGTTCCCGGCTTGGAAACCCACCGGGACAGTTCAACCCTGTCCTCTAGGGTTGCTATGAGTTGAAGTTGACTTCAGGCAGCGAGTCTGAGGTTTTCCAAGCAGCCACCATGTTCTGGCTGTTTGACTAGGAACAAGTCCCTTGGGCCTCGCTTTTCTGGTCTGTCACACGGTAAGGCTGTTAACACTCATTCACTGGTGTGTAACAGCAGTTCCCAAGTTGGAGCCGTTTTGCCCCATGGAAACATTTGTCCATTTCTGAAAACGTGTGGTTATCACCATGGGGAGGGGAGGGGACAGTGCTACCAGCACCTTGAAAACGCAGCCAGAGCTGCTCCTACTCATCCTATGGGTTTTACAAGACAGCCCTCCAGAACCCCAAACCATCTGGCCCCAAACGGTCCAGGGGCCCCGTTAAGAAACCCGGGTTGTGAGGCACCGGAACCCAAAACGTGTGTGGCGACTAGCTGGGGTTGTTGACGAGCTCGTCATCCAGTGCCAGCTGCCGGCTGATTGCACGCTGCGCGGTTTTCACGAGGCGCCCTGCCTCCTGCTCACTGAGCACGCCCTTCCCCGAGCACTCCACCCAGACATAGAAGGGACTTGCTCAAGGTCGTGCAGCGTGCCAGTGGCACAGCCCCGATTTGAGCCGGGTCCTCCTGGTGCTGCTCTGGCTACTAACAGGGTTGTCATTCTGCTTGCTCTCCATCTGGGTGGAATCTCCCTCGGACAGCAAGTGGGGCCCAGCCTCTTATAAACTGGGCCAGACCCGCTCGGCTCAGTATGCTAACTGGCCTTAGCTCCGGGGAGTGTGGTAGGTATGTACTGTCCTGGGGAGTTGTGTGTGCCAAGGGAAAAGTGGCTGTGTGAGCTCCCACTCTGGGGGCTGTGGAATGTGTCGTCCTCCCCCCACCCCCCAGCCTGGCCTGTGGCTGTGGTGTTGCAGGGGGTGGTGTGTATCCACGGTGACAGTGGGCACACTGCTGTGCCCTTGTGGGGGCAGGTTGGTGTCTGGGAGAAATGAGCCGGCACTAGGGGTGACAGTGTGGAAGGGCTCAGGCCGCTGGTCTTGCTTGAGGGGGTAAGTGGGCAGTTTGGGGTGGTGAGGTACACGTGAGGCTATTGCCTGGGGGGGTCGGCGTGGTGTTTGTTGTGAGGTGGAAGCCGCCTGAGGCCTGCAGTGGACATCAGGCTCAGAGTCCAGGCTGTCTCTATGGTAACTGGACAGCACGACATGGTCCAGGTTTTCCTCTGTGTGCCTCAGTTTCCTCTTCTTTGAAGTGAGCATCCTGAGGGCGCTATGACTCACATAAGCTTCCCAGATCGTGGCAGTGGGGTGGGGGAAGGGTGCTGCTATGCCCTCCACTTATGGATGAGGAAGCTGAGGCCCCTGAGCTCAGTGAGGGCACTTTCCCAGGGTTCCAAGTTTGGCCATTTCCCACTCAGCTCTTGGTGTTGCTGAGGGCCAGGGAGAGTGTCAGGTAGGGAAAGCTGGGGTCCCCACCTTCACCCAGTGGTGCTCCTCCTTAGCTGACACGGAGGTGGGCTTCTTGGGGTGCGGAGTTCTGCTGTGTAGCATGCAGAATGGTGGTTGGGAGAGACTGCACCCCACTGGCCTGGCCGCACCTTTAGGGGTAGATGTGATTGAGGTGGTGCCTGAGGACTGGTGGGGGTGTGGGTATGTCCTGGGGGGCAATCTGAGTGTGCTGGGTGCCCAGGGTCTGTTCTGGAAGTCAGAAGAGCACATTGGCTGGGGGTTGGCAAGTCTACTTCTAGAATCACCCAAGGGCTACATCTCCATCTCCCACTTTGGGGAAGGGGGGACAGGGAAGAGGATAAGGGAGAAAATGAAATGAATTGATGAGTTCCTCTCCTTCAACCTCAGCTCCGCGGGAAGGGTGGAGAGCCAGGGGCAGCAGCTCTGTAAGGTTGCTGAGCCTGTGACTCGCTCCAAGGCGCCACTGCGTGGGATTGAAACTCCAGCAAGCTGAGTGCCCCACCGCTGGTGCCTCGGGGGAGTGGGAGGCTCCTTGGGGACATTGTTGAATTGGAGGAGGTTCACCCTAAACAGTGGCCTTCCCTTCTTGGAGCTTTGCCGCCACACAGGAACAAAGGCACTGCAGATGGTTCTTCACACAGCAGCTGACGGCACCTGCCTCGGCAGCTTGGGCCTGCCCCCCCATCCCCACCTCCATCCCGCAGGTGTGCCTGTGGCTGGGATTTAATACCGTGTTTTATAAGGTGCAAACTTAATGAGCTGGTATTTCTCAGCAACATAAACTTCAGGCACGTGCGCTGTAATTTTGTGCTAAGTGAGTTTGTACACCAGGATTAAATACATCCTCCTTTCTGGGTGTGCGGCGGTGGTGACGCAGACGCCTGATGCTCTGTCCCCCGCTCTCCCAGGGGTGGGCAAGGCGGCTGTTGTATGCGGCTGCAGCCTGCTGGGGAGGGTGTGGCCACGCTGGCCCTCACTAGCTGTCCTCCTCAGCAAGGCTCACAAAGCATATTTTGTGAGGGGAAAGGAATGCGGAGTCATGAATTTCTCTGGAGTCTTCTGCAGAGGAGGGGCGGACGGCTCGTTCCTGAAGCTGCCTGCCTCAGCCTCCTGCCTGCCATGGGGGCTGTGAGCCATTTTCCAATAGCTGCCAGGGACTCTCCAAGGTTACCCGACCCTGGGTGCATCTCAGTGTTATGCCTGGCTAGGGTGATTTTTGCCAAAACTGGCTTCATGTTTCTGGCCACCTGCTACTGCTTGTAGCCCTCAACCCAGCGGGCTGGGATCCACTGGGCCCGTTGTGTGTGTGTGTGGCTGTGACTACGGAAGTACGCACTGCAGGACAGGCACCAACTCTTCACGGACAAGTCTGTGACACTGCTGGCTGCTTTTAAGTGGCACAACCATTCCTGCTCTCCCCCACCCCCCTTCCACACACACGGTTCCACCACCAGGAGGATAAACGCACGGCCCGAGCTGCCCTCTCATCTGACCTTGTGAGTTGCCCTTGGCAGTGGCCTGGCAGGGCTCGTGGTACTGGTGCGGAAACAGGCGTTCCCAGGCAAGGCTCTGATAGGGATTTCTTTCCTGGAGGACGAGACTCCAGGTTGTCCTACAGTGTGTGTTGAGCTTAGAAAATGTGTGCCCTCTGAGCCACTGCCCCGTCCCCTGTATGGCTGAGGAGGCCAAGGGACAGGGAGGACTCGTGAGCTGCCCAAGGTCACATGGGGTCAGAGGCAGACCCCTGATGCCTCTTGTTCACGGTCCAGCCCTCCTTCCCCTCGGTCACCCCAATACTCGGCCCGTGGACTGGACAGGTGGTCCCCACTTAATGCCCGAGGCCCATTCCCCTGAGACCCCTTATAGGCTGAGTCTGATGTCATGTGAGGACCTCTTTTCTCGTATTTTGATGCCTTTTCTCATCAGCATCCTTATACATCCTATCTTGTTTTTTTTTTTTAATAAATTCTATCTTGAGGGGTTTGCAAACATCGCATGTAAGACGCATCTTAATACATAATATCTATGTTTTAAAACACACACACACCGGCATCACAAACACGTCCCCGACCATGACATCCAGCTGGGCAATGTGGGCGTTTGGTCACTGTGCCAGTGATCCCATGGGTGGGAGGCTCAGGATCGCCCGGGCTCTCCCTGGGTTTCTCATTGAACCTTTCACAGTCTGCCTCCCCAGTGTCATTAACAAAGCGATGAGTGTCCGGGCCTCATCTTTTCACGCCATTGAAACCCCTGATTTCATTTGAAAAACAAACAAGCAAACCCCAAACCTCCAGCGAATCCTTTGACGAAGGAGCCCCAGGGGCGTCGTGCGTTCACAGTTGGGCTGCTACCCACAAGGCCCACAGTGTGACCACACCTGCCGGCTCGTGGGGAAAAGAGACTTTCTACTCCCATCGAGAGTGACCTCTGTAGACCATGGGACATCCCCTCACAGAAGGGTCACGAGGAAGGGGTGCTTCAACCAGGGTGCAGTAGAGCACCGATGAAACACACAGTAATCCTCTGGTTCCTTGAGGGCCCCTCAACCCCATATCATGATCCCGATCCTGCCCTTCAGTTCTGGCTAAACCAGAGCATGTGCCCTGGTACAGATAAGAGCTCACGACACACGGAATCCAGGTCAGATAAACCCCTCAGGAACAGAAAAGGAAATATCCCTACCAAGAGGTTAGGGGTAAGATGGGGAGAGGAGGGGAGGGAGGGGGGACCGATTGCAACGATCGACACATAACCATCCCCCCACCCCCCACCACGGGGGACGAACCACAGAAACCATGGGAGAAGGGAGACAGCGGTCAGTGTAAGATATGAAAATGATCATAATTTATCAAGGGGTCATGAGGGTGAGGGGGTGGAGGGAGGGAAAAAAGAGGAGCTGATACCAAGGGTTCAAATAGAAAGTAAATGTCTAGGAAATAATGATGGCAGCATAGGTACAAATATGCTTGATACAACTGATGCATGGATTGTTAAAAGAGCTGTCAGAGACCCCAATACAATGATCTTAAGAAAAAGAAAAAAAAAAGTTAGTCTCAGAAACCCAGAGGGCATGTCTGCCCTGCAGAATCGCTGTGAGCTGGGATCCCCTTGATGGCAGTGAGTTTGTGTTTTGGGGGCATCCTTTCACTGTAAAAACTTTTCTTCCACATCTTTTTCCTCTTCTGGCTTTATATTTTTTCCTCCAGCGTTTCTTTTTTTTTTTTAAGTGGCAGACAGGATTTATTTTGATTCCTCCTAAAGAACCCATTGCTCACAATGGATGGCTGTATGGATGTGATAAGAGCTGTACGAGCCCCCAATAAAATGACCTAAAAAGAAAGACCACATGGCTACAAGTCCACGAGTCTTTTTTTTAATATGGAACGCTTCACGAATTTGCGTGTTATCCTTGTGCAGGGGCCATGCTGATCTTCTCTGCATCGTTCCAATTTTTTAGTATATGTGCTGCCGAAGCGAGCACAGTCCACGAGTCTTAACAATCCCGTTTTCTGTGCTGCAAGCCCAAGTCTCTGACCAGTAAACAGAGCTCAATCAGCACTCCAGAAGACCCTCTTGCATGCAGTATTGGTGTACGGGTGCGAGCGCCACTCAACATAGCCTCCTGTGCCAACGTGCCCAGGCGAATCATGTACAACTTTAGCTCAACGCCAGGTCCGGCTTCAGTCACCTCCACATTGTGGTGGTCCACCTTCTTGTAGGTGTGGTGTTGGAACGAGATGTAGTCATCCTGGTTTGCAAAAATGATGATCCTGTGGCTGTCATCTTTGGGGACAGGGAGCAGATACTTCAGGATGTCAGAGACCCGTTTGTCCAGGCGGGAGGAGAAACCGTGCATACTGAGGTGGGGCTTGGCTTCTGACATTGTGCCCAGGTCAGGGATGTCATGCCGCATGACGAGACGTTGCAAAGGTTGAAGTATGCAGGGGGGGCCGGACGGCAGGTGGCTGATAATGAGCCCCACTGGCATGCCACGGCGCTCGTGAACTACCTGCAAGTCCGTTACTCCATTGGCTTTGCAAGCTCGCACTAGCACGCCCACCTCATGCCGGCCTCGGTTCATGCGCTGTGCACCTGGGAACACCAGTGTCACTTCCTTTGCAAACATCTTGAGGTGCGAACTGGGATCTCGGGAGGTGGTGATCATGATCTTGGGGTCTTCAAGCCCTGCCCATCGATACTCATCATCCACATGGCTGGTTACTCCTTCACCACCAACATTATCAAACTCCAGGGACCCATGTAGCGCTAGAGCCTCACGACGTAACTAGGTGGGAATCAGGTGGTTCTCTTCAAGCTTGCCCAGAGCCGCTTTCTTCTCCTGGGCATTTCGCTCTGCTTCCTCGTGGGCCTTGTGGTACAGGTACAGGTACTGGTACTTGCGGCGGCGCAGCATCCTGAGCGCCCCTTCCACGTGGGTTTCGGAATGTGTGGATTTTTCCCTTCAGCGTTTCTTGCTGCATCTTCTAACCCCGCTATGTCCTGATCCGGATCCCCTTCTCGATCCTGAGCCATGCTCAGTAGCCCTGCAATGCAACTTTGTATCCAGTGCCTGTTAGTGACAGGAAGACTTACAAAAAGGAAACAAAAGTCTTGGGGTCTGCAGGATTGTTGGGCAGGCAAGCTTGCTGTGACGTAGCCTATCCACCCCCGAGTCCTTGAAGCAGAGCGTCCTTGGCCTCACTGCAACCCCCTCCTCCCTTTGTGCTCACCCAGTCTGTCCCTTCTCCAGAGTTCAGTGTGGGGGAGGATGCCTGTTCCGGCCCCTTAGGAATCTGGGAGGAGTGAGGGAGCTGGCCCAGCTGGTGGCTGCTAGTGTGTCCCCCAGGCTGACCCCTGTTTTGGGCCACAGGTGGATCAGCTCAAGCTCAAGGTGAGCCGCCTGGAGGAGGAGTGCACCCTGCTGCGCAGGACCCGGGGGCCGCTCCCTGGGTCTGAGGAGAAGGAGAGGGAACCAGAGGGCATGGACCTGGTCTCGGAGCTGCGGGCAGAGAACCAGCGGCTGACCACATCCCTGCAGGAGCTGCAGGAGGGCCTGCGGCAGGTACCCGGGTGTCAGGTGGAGTGTTGGGGGTGCTTGCTGAGGCCCCTCCCATTCCTTACTCCATCTCCCTGAGGTCTGGACAGGTGAGGGTTCCAGAAGTGGGGGTCTGAAGTCTGGTCAGCATCCCACTGAGTACCCTGTCTGGTCTGGGGTCTGCCTCTCGGAAGTCTCTGAACCTCCAGAAACTATACACCTCCTTTCTTGTGCAAGAGGGCTTTTCTGGCATGAGGGTCCCCAGCTTTCCTTTTGTTTTTAGGGTAGTCTGTGACCCCGGAGGAGTCTTTGGGTGGCACAGACGGTTAAGTGCTCAGCTGCTAAACAGAAGGCTGGCCGTTCGAGGCTGGACCTGGAGGTGCCTTGGAAGAAAGACGTGGCAACCTCCTTCCCCCAAACGGCAGCTCAGTTCTACTCTGATGCACACGGGCGCCCGCTGTCCGAGAGCCCCCTGAGCTCTGGATGGCCCGACCTGGCTTAGTGGCCTGGCAGGCCTACCTCCTGCTCAGAACTCCTCTTACGACCCAGGAAGTGGGGGCATGGGAAGTAGGGTGTCGCTGTGTTTTGTGGGTCTGTGGGGTCCCTGGCTGGGGTGTGGGATTGGAGGCTGGTCCTTGGGCTCAGGGGCCACTTCCGGGGCCAGACTCAGGCAGAAGCTTTGGGAGGGCTGTCCTTTGGCTAGCTTTAAGCATTGGGTGGGGGCCAAGCAAGGGCAGGGCCTGGTTCCCGTTAAGAATACGATCCTGACCCAACTTGCCGGGAGCACACCCTCCTGCACATACCCTCCTGCACACACCCTCCTGCACCATGGGTCCCCATGCTCCCTGGAGGCTGGGTGGGGCTGGTGCAGCTCCAGGTCTCCCCAGGTCAAGGGCTGGTGGGACAGGCCCCAGGGCTCAGGGTTTCCGACTCCCTCTTCCTCCCCACACTCAATGCAGCCCTGACTTCTGACCCCCAGGAGGCAGGCCGGCCGGGGGCCCCGGGCTCAGAGCGCATCCTCCTGGACATCTTGGAGCACGACTGCCGCGAGGCGCAGGACAGCCGGCAGGAGCTGTGCCAGAAGCTGCACGCTGTGCAGGGGGAGCTGCAGTGGGCGGAGGAGCTGCGGGACAAGGTCGCTTCCCGTGCCCCCTCCCCACCCGACGGCCCCCACCTTCCTTCTACTAACAGCCCAGCCCCTGGGTAGGAATCCCTGAGCTACCTACTGGGTGCCAGGCCCTGTGCTAAGAAGTAGCCATTCACCCGCCCTCAAATGCTTGATCAAGTGTTCTGCGTGCCCAGGGCTACATCGGCGAGCAAAGCAAAGGCGGCCGCTTCCATTGGGGGACAGTCCAGCGGGGGAGGCAGGAGCTGCCATGCTCACGAGGAGAGCTCAGTGTTTGGGTGCTGTACAGAGGAGCTCTGAAGAGCCCAGGGAAGGGATAGTGAGCCGTCAGACTGCCTGGCAGTAGCCGGGAGGGTGGAAGTAGTGTATTATCTACCCACTCACTGGATCAGGCAACCGAGGTCCAGCTGGCCGATTGAAATTGGGCTCAGGGCTACCTGCCTGTCGAGCCGGGTCTCTCTCATGGGAATGTGGCCACCTGCTGGGTAACCTCCCCACCGCCTTGCACACACATGCGCGCACGCACACACACTCTTGGGCTCCTTGGCTGCCACTGTGGTCCAACCAGCCAGTCCTGCCCCCAGTACCTGCAGGAGATGGAGGACCTGCGGCTGAAGCACCGCACACTGCAGAAGGACTGTGACCTGTACAAGCATCGCATGGCCACCGTCCTAGCACAGCTGGAAGAGATCGAGAAGGAGCGGGACCAGGTGAGGCCGCCCCGCTGCGTGTGCGCGTGTGCGGCCTGGCTGTCTCTCGGGGGTGCAAGAGCAGTGGGCAGGACTGGAATTGTAGAAAAGTCCTCGCCAGTCCACTGATGGCTTAGGGTAGGGCAGGGAGCCCGGGAGAAACACAGACCTGGCTCCTGGGACACACCTGGGCTTATGAGGCCATGACCACATCGGTCCCCATGCCCTTCAATTCCAAGTGCTTCCTTCTGTTGGGTCCAGGACAAGGCCTGCACAGGGCCGGTGCTGGCAGATACTTGCCGATGAAAAGCTTCTCGCAAGTTCTGACTTCCAGCCCGTCTCCTGGCCTCGTCTCCAGCTGAGGCCCTGGGGTGGGTGACTTGGAAGGTTGCCAGGAGTCTGAGCAGACTCAGCCCCGCTGACCACCGCAGCGCTGGCTGCTGAGTCCGAGCAGACTCAGCCCCGCTGACCGCCGCAGCGCTGGCTGCTGCTGCCCTGTCGCCAGGCTCGGAGGCCAGGACAGTGAGCCAGCGTGGCTCCTTGGCTGTCGATCCCCGACCTCCTCCCTGCCCACTGCCCCCAGGCCATCCAGAGCCGGGACCGGGTCCAGCTGCAGTACTCACAGAGTCTCATTGAGAAGGACCAGTACCGCAAGCAGGTGCGCGGCCTGGAGGTGGAGCGGGATGAGCTGCTGACCACACTCACCAGCCTGGAGGGCACCAAGTCCCTGCTGGAGGCGCAGCTGCAGCGGGTCCAGGGCGGCCCCGGCCTCAAGGTCAGAAGGTCGGAGCAGAGGGTCCTGGGCTTGTCCTGGGAATTAGAGAGGACGGAGGAGCCTGGCAGGAGCTCTGGGTGGGGGTGGGGTGGGATGGAGAAGAGCTGGGGTGAGGACATGCTCAGGGGGAGCCCTGGGCTGGGAGCCTGCGGGTCCTGCTTGGAAGGAAACAGGTGGGCCTTGGTAGTGCCCTCACCCCAAGTCAGGAACAGCCTGGTCTTGGAGTGAGCGAGCTGAGCTCTCCGGCAGGGTGAGGCAGGCAGGGGCCCTGGTAGGAGCCCTAGGGTCTAGGCTTCGTTGGAGATGTCTTGTCTTGTCAGAGAGTGAACAATCTGTGGGCTTCTGGGTTTCTGGGATTGCTCCAGGGCAGCGGTACTATTTAGTGAGAGAGAGAGAGAGAGAGAGAGTGTGTTCTGGCCGTGTGAGGTGGCTGAGCATCTTGGAATGCAGAATAGAAACAGTACCTTAGAGGTCCTTGGAGTCCAGCTGGTTCAGTCCCCTCCTTGCCCCAGAGGGGAGGGGAGGCCAGGGACTCACCCTGCATCCCACAGCCGGCCAGCTCTGGGGCAGCTTGCCCCTAAACAAACAAATACACAGACAGACGAAGAAGCTCACTGCCTTTGAGTCAACTCTGCCTCATCGTGTGACCCTACAGGACCAGGCAGAACTGCCCCCGGGGCTTTCCGGGACTATAACACTTTAAGGGAGTAGAAAGCCTTATCGTTCGCCCATGGAGCAACTGGTGGTTTCGAACTGCTGACCTTGTTAGCAGCCCAGCACGTAACCCACTATACCAGCAGGGCTGGAGCTGACGCTCAGGTGTCTTCCGGGTGGCTCTGCCGTTTCCTGTTTGGGGCAGGCTTGAGGGGCTTCAGGCAGCCCAGGGCTGAGGCAAGGAGGCCCAGAGGATGGATGAATGTTTTCCCCGCTCTGTCTAGCTTGCATCACGGCCCCTTAGCATGCCCATCCTCCCTTATTCCCAGCCAAATTGGCCTTTTAATGCTCACACCCATTGTCACCCAGTTGATTCTGACTCAATAGGACAGAGCGGAGCTGCCCCCGTGGGTTGTCGAGGCTGCACATCAGGAGAGGAGCGGACAGCCTCTTCTTTCTCCTGTAGAGCAGCCTGTGGTTTTGAACTGCTGATCCCGAGGTTAGCCACCCAACTCATGGCCCACTGTGCTATCAGTCCTAGAATCTACCACAGTCCTGCCTCGGGGGCTTAGCACATGCTCTTCCCTCTACCTGGAACAACCTCCTCTCATTGACCCACTTAGCACGCATTTAGCTTTGCCTTCTCAGCCCAGACCCTGAGTTTGGCTAGCCCTCCCAGGCCCCAGGCCCTTTCCCTCTGGCCTCGGGCACCGCCCCCACCCGCCACATCCAGGACTGTCACCAGTTAACCAGCAGCTGCTGCTGCATCTATGCCTGCTCGTGGAGATGGAGCGTATGGGAGTCCAGCTGGACTCCACCTGGTCTTCAGGGGCTGGTTTTTGGGAAACAGGGCACCAGACCTTTCTTCCAAGGTACCCCCTTTTGGTTGGGGGCCAGAGAGCAACCGTGTGCCCCACCCAGGGATTCTGCTCTCACTGCCTTTGGGGGCCATGGTTCTCATGTGCTAGCTTGTCTGCTTTGGTCCTTCCCTCCAGACTGAGTGCCCCCAGGGCCACCAGCTGGCTCCCTGGGCCTCACTGTGCCCTGGGTCTAGCCGGTGGCTGTGTTGGGCCAGGCCAGCCCGGCTCACCCCTCCTCTCTCCTCCCAGGCCTGTACCTCCTCCCACTCCCTGTGCTCCAACCTTAGCAGCACCTGGAGCCTCAGTGACTTCACCTCCCCCCTGGCGGCCCTGGATGCGGCCGGAGAGGCAGTGGCCGCAGGGGGATCTGAGCCCCACACCTCGGTGAGACGCCCACCTGCCCCAGACTGGTGGGTGGGCTGTGGGAGACAGGTGCAGTCCCATGCAGAGTCAGCATGGCGCTGAACCTGGGGGGGGCCAGGGGAGCTGGGGTGTCCCTGCGCGGGCAGTGGGCTCCCCCTTGGCCTTGAGGTCTGTGTGGTGCTGGCCGTTGAGGTGACTGGGCCGTGACCGGCATTGCAGGAAGAGGCCACGGACAGCGAGAAGGAGATCAACCGGCTCTCCATCCTGCCCTTCCCCCCCAGCGCTGGCTCCATTCTACGGCGGCAGCGTGAGGAGGACCCTGCGCCTGCAAAGAGGTACTCGGGTCTTCCCCCCTGGGGAGCAGGAGAGACCTGGGGAAGCAAGGCTGCTTCTCCCTGGAGGACCACCTTCCACTTGCCCTCTGCAGAGCCCTGTCTGGGCAGCCACCGCTCTCTGTTGGCCTTGGCAGACAGAGCGCTGGACACCAGACCCCACGAGTCCTGGGAGGGCCAAGGTCAGGGTTAGGACAGAGAACCACCGGAAATCCAACCTTGAAGATCCCGCTCGGGCCAGGACTAAGGATCAGGAACTCGGGGAAGCCAGCCCCAGGTTCATCAGCCAGCCAGTGGCCACACCTGCCTCCCTGTCGCTACTCTCTCTGGAAGGCACTAGGAGGTCTCAGAGGCATGAGGATGCCAGGTGGGAGGTGGGGAGGTGGACCCCAGAGCCACAGTGGCCATTCAGGGTACAAGGTGAGAGTGAGATGAGGGTGGAGTAAGGTTTCGGGGAGTGGTGAGGGAGCCTGGGACAGGCTAGGTCTGCAGCCATGGCCTGAGGGTTAACTTCTGGCCCTGTAAGTCTGGGGAAGCAGGGTGGCGAGGCTGCGCAGTACCTGAGGCCCGTGCTCAGGGGTTTCCCTGCCTGACTTGGGGCCACAGGACCTTGTAGTGGTTCTGGAACAGGAGGGAGTGCGCAGAGGGCCTGTCGCACCTGACCTGTTTCTCTGCATCCCTTCTCTGCCAGGTCCTTCAGCAGCATGTCCGACATCACAGGTAACTCCCTGGAGGACTGCGGGTGGAGGACCCCTGTGGGGGTGGGGCACTTACTTTCCCTGAGGTGCCATGGCTGGGGTGAAGCTGGGAAAGGCCAGCAGCCACCCTGTGCCCCCAGCATTTGGCTCCTGCTTCCGACCCTGAGCCCAGCCCTGGTCACACTGCAGCACAGGCCCCTTCTCAGATCTGACTCTCCTCCCCGCTCCCCGGGAAAGCACAGTCTCACTCTGAAGGCTCCTGGGCAGCTCTGAGCCCAGTGGGGACCTCAGCCTACCGAGGCTCCAGGGGCTTAGCACCTGTCATGGGCTGTGTGCTCAGGTCTCCCCATTTCCTGTTTCTCAGGACCCTCTCTGAGCCTCACCCTTTCTCCCCCCTCCAGGGAGTGTGACACTTAAGCCCTGGTCCCCAGGCCTGTCCTCCTCCTCCTCCTCGGACAGCGTGTGGCCCTTGGGAAAGCCGGATGGCCTCCTGGCCAGGGGCTGTGGCCTAGACCTCTTTAACAGGTACTGGCAGCACCTGGGGCCAGAACAAGGGTGGGGGGCTTGGTGAGCAGGGGTGAGGTGGAGGGAGCAGCAAAGCCTTTCTTTAGACAGAGTTTCAATCCTGGGTTTCAATCCTGTCACCACCCGGGCTGTTCATGGTCTGTGCGACGTGGGCTGGTCATGCTACCCCTCTGGGCCTGTTTCTCCATAGGTTCAAGGCTATCGGTGGGAGTTCGAGGTTCAGGGAAATTAAGCTCCCTGTTCTGCCAGGCGCCAAACTCATCCCCACCCCCATCCCCACCGCCGTGGACTCTCAGTCCAAAGGAGAGCTGCTCCTGGGTTTTCAAGGCTGTTGCTCTCTCAGGGAGCACAGCTTCATTGTCCTCCTGCGGAGCAGCTGGTGCGCTTGAACCGCTGACCCTGTGGTGAGCAGCCCAGCACCATGTAACCCACTCCATACCCAGCACCGTACCCGGGCTCCTGCCGCACATAGTCCAGCAAGACGACCCAGCTCCTTGTCCTCCAGTTGGTTCTCATCTCGGGGTTTCTCGGGGTCTTTGTCCCATGGGCGGCTGGCTGGTGGGTGTGGGCCCTGACCTCTAGGTTAGCAGCCAAGGGCTTCGTGCCACGGCCCCACCGGGCACCCAGAAGGCGCTTAGAACCCCACTACCCTCTGTATCTTTAGCCCCGCCGGACAGGCCTGTCTCCCCAGCTGGGAGTTCCCAGCAGGCTTGAACTGAGCTGTCCAGCCAAGCTTTGCGCTGTGTGCTGTGTGCTGTGGGTAGGCTGGGGCTAGTCTCCGCCCTGTGGCTCTCCTGAAACACCTCAGCTCCCAGGGAGGGCTGGACTCTGTGATTCAGGGCCAAGGCATGGCCTCCTGGTCAGCGGCTCCCAGGCGGGCACAGTGGAGCACGGGACAGGTGAGGGGAAAGGCTGGCCCAGGCCACCTCGGACTCTGCCCTGCAGGGAAAGGGTAGACTTTGGCTTTGGACCCTGGGAGAGCTGGGAGGCGTCAACTAGCCTCAAGCCCAAGGCCAGCTGTTGCCAGCTGCTCCACAGCACCCCCTCTGTCTGGGGATGTGGGAATTAAATCTCATTATTCTTGTTAGGTCGCCCAGCTGGGGGGGTACCTGAACCAAGGTCTGGAATCAGCTGATAGAAGAGGCTTGCAGACCAGGGCCTGAGAAGCACTGCATGGCAGAGCTCATGGGGGCTGCTGGCCCCCAGGAAGAGCTGGGCCAACACAGCAGGAGCATGTGTGGCAGGGCCAGCTCCCTCTTGGAAGCAGCTCAGCCTGGTCCCTGCCCCCACCTCTCCGACTGTCTGGCCAGTGTGACATTGTTTCTCAGTGCAGGACGTGCTGTTGGGGGAAGGGGAGGAGGCACCTCCCTTCCTGCCTGCCTCCCCGGCCCTTCCTCCAGTCCGGCCACAACAGGGGTCCTGGCTGCTGTCCACGGGCCTCTGGGATGCGGCCCAGTGGGCAGGAGACTGTCCCAACCCCCACTTGTGTGGCCACGCCCCAGGAGGAGGGAGTTTCGGGAAGAGCATGGATTGGAGTCGGGGCAGGGGAGATGCATAAATGGGGGCACTTCGGGGCGAGTGGACGGACAGGTAGAGAGGAGGCAAGGGGCCTAACTGCTGGTGCCCGAGTGGGGTGCTTCCAGGACTGCGGGGAGCAGTGAGGAGAGCTGGCTTGGGTGCCCACCCCTGAGGCTGGCTGTCTTGTGACTGAAGTCACTGAGTCCTCCCATGCCTCGGTTTCCTGCTGTGTAAAATGGGACTCGCAGTAGTACCCGCCCCTAGGTCCCTCGGGGGGCTCTGAACCGGGCCTGCCTGTCTTCAGCCGGACTCATGTTGTGCCCCACTGAGTTGGTCCCCACTCCAAGTCACCCTGGAGGGCAGGGTAGAACTACCCCAGGAGGTTTCCTAGGCTGAAATCTTTGTGGGCGTGGATCACCCGGCCTTTCTTCCTATCAGCCCCTGGGTGAGTTTGAACCATCGACCTTTCCATGAGCATCCAGGTGCTTAACCGTTAGGCCACCAGGGCTCCTTGCCTGGGTGATGAGAACTACCCAACACCATGTAGTCCATTCTGACTCAGCAGCCATAGCTGTAGGAGGGGGTTTATGAGGCTCTGAATCTCTGTGGGAGCAGGCAGCCTCATCTTCCTCCCTTGGAGTGGCCGGTGGGTTTGAACTGCCGACCTTACAGCTAGCAGCCCACTGTTTACCCAACTGCACCATTCAGGCTCCTTGGCCTGAGTGGTTACTGCATGTTAGCGCTTCGTGATACTGTTATTTAACTGAGAGCAACCTTCAATATTTAAAAATCTCATTTCAAAAAAAATTTTTAAAAACCACTCCTTTCATTGACTTCATTAACATATCATACCATTCAGCAGTTCAGCCACGTTAAGGATTGGGCATTCTTCATCGCATATTGACTCTGGGACGGTTCTTCCCCCATCTGCTGTTGACTCCCCATTTCCCTCCCACCTCCCTTTCTGTGCCCCCTGCTGTTGACTCCCCATTTCCCTCCCACCTCCCTTTCTGTGCCCCCAAGTAATTTTTAATCCGGTTGCTGTCTTTATAGATCCACCCACCCTGACTTCCCTCTACAGAAAAACATGTAAAACCAAGACAAAAACCAAAAAAGGGCCCAGCAACAATGAACAACTAAAACAGAGAAAAAGCTCAATCAAAAAGAAAGCAGGAACTATTGAGAAACCAGAATAAATTCAAAATGGGTCAAAAAGGAAATCTCAGGATGTGGCGTTACTTTCCAGCCCCACGACAGCTCCCAAATCCACTTCCCAACACTCTGTCTGCTGCTTAGGTCATTCACCTTCCTGGACTGTGGTCACTGGGGATTCACTGGAGACCCAATCCATGTAGGGGCCCAGCAAGTGGATTTTGGGCTTCCGCTGTCACCCGTAATGTTCTGCAAACGGAGCCATAGATATGTGAGTGAATGAGTTTTGAGCTCCTTGACTGCAGTCCTAACGTAAGGACAATTAATTCTTGCGACATGATAGCGCCCTTCATGAGGAGATGACTGAAGATACGAGTGCTATCGCAAAGTGGGGTGAAGGAAATCAGGTGGAGCCTCGCTATTTAAAAAAATAACATCTGTGGTCTTAAAGTTTGTGTTTTTGTTTTTTCCTCAAAACAAGCAACCCTCTAAGAGAAGTGTCAGCTCTAAGACCATACCAGCCTGTGTGATCCAAGGATTGTGAATAATAAAATCCAAACCTGGAGGAGGGAAGGGTACCAGAGCCTGAGTTCTAAAGATCTTTTAAAATGGCATTTTACTCCCGTTTTTCTCAGTGAAGTTCACGCAGCAGCAGATAGATTCTTACTCACAAGTACTAAGCAAGCAGTCTGTGTATTGGTTACATTTTCTCAAGAGGTTCACATTGTAACTGATTCTGGAATACTTTGTTTCCAGTAGTCCTGTATTCCTGCTCTCTTTTCTCCTTGTTCTTGGAATTGTCCACCATTTGGTCTTGTACAGATGATTTTTCAAAGGTGCACGGTCCTCACTGGTCTTTGTCTTTATTTTATGAGCCAGTCTGGTAATGTAGGTACAGTAAACGGTGACGCGGGTAATTTTGGTCCCTGGTCTGTGGCCCATTGAAGGGGGATCGTCTCGGAGCAGCCTCTAGTCTGAGTTGGTCTGCTAAGTCTGGGCTTTCTCAGAATTGGAGTTCTGTTTATGTTTTTCTCTCCTATTAGGGTTCCAACTATTGTGGCCTTGATGAAGGTGGTCTCATGGTAGCTGGACGCCATCTAATTCTTCTGGTCTTGGGGTAGATGAGGCCACGGCTTATGTGAACCATGGGTTCCCAAACTTATTTGATCTACCTCCCCCTTTTCAGAAAAAAAGACTTGGTGCTTCCCTGAAAATTAAACACTTTTGTGCTCTACTCTATAACCCATCACCTAGGGGGCCTTCACAGCCCCCCAGGATCGTCCCAGGCCCCCTCCCAGAGGGCAGTGCCCCCCTGCCCCCACCCCCTTGGGGATACACAGCTCGTCCTGTGGACTAGTCTCATCAGCCCCTTGGTTTCCTCCTTCCTTTTTTGTTCTGGATGAGAAGAGACTGGGAGTTGCCGGGACTGGTCTTTGTAACCCCAGGATATGGATGGAGAAACTGAGGCACTGGGTCAGGAATCTGTCCGGTTGCAAGGCCACTGGGCAGTGTGGTGCAATTGGGGGGTTCTGCTGCGCCTGCTTTAGACAGATGGCCAGTCACCACCGAGTGTCCCATGCCTGCCCCTTTTCTGGTTTCTGCCTGTCACTTCCCCTCGGCCCCTGCCAACTCCTCCGGCCACCCCTCTCTGCTCTTGGGGACTTGCAGGGAGGGTTTCTGCCTCTTCAGTCCTTGCTCACAGAGGGCTTAGGTAGGTTAGAGGCCCTGATTAAGAGAGTGGGTCATTACCTGTCTACCATCTGCCCTATGTCTCAGCAAGGCTGATCACGGTGGGCTTCCTGAAGAAAGCAGGGAGAGGAAGTACTGAGAACAAGGTGGGCAGCCTTGTAGAGAGGGGCGTCCTGGCAGAGGGAAGAGCGTGTGCAGATGACTTGGAAGCCGAGAAAACCAGACCCTGAGGGTGACTGGGCCTCCAGTGGGGTGGTGGGAGGGGTGGCTAGACAGGAGACAACCCTTGGGTTTGGGCCCAAGGCACGTGATCTGCCCTGTGGGCGTTCTTATGGCTGGGGGGTGACTCACTCATACTGGGGTCACCTTGGCTGGGCTGGTGGGGCTGGGCTGGGTTAGGACTGAGGTAACCTTGCTTTCCAGAAGTGACCTCCAACTGGACAATTGGAATGAAAAGATAATGGGATTTTTCCGTGAACTTTTTAAAGCCTCCTCCTATGCTGCCAAGAAATCTTCCCACCGTGCCCTGCAGCAGTGGGCAGGAAGTGGGGACAGATCTGCCTGTGACTTGACCTCCTGACCCAATTGGCGGCAGTGCTGAGAGCCCTCACTGGCCAGGTTGGGGAGTACTGGGAGGGCAGCTCCCTTCCACTCCTCTCCCTAGCCCCCTGCTGGCCTGCAGAGGCCCTGCGCCCTACCCACAGCTAACTGCCTGGCACTCTGAGAAGGCCAAGGGCAGGGGCCCTGGAGGCTTGGTGGACACTTGGCTCCCTCAGGGAGGTCTGGGAAGGGTGGGTGGCTGTGACGACTCCTCTGTGGGTGTGAAAGGCTTGGAAGACCGAGGGCCAGAGAGAGCAGGCCTGTCCAGAAAATTGAGATCCCAGTAGGGCTATGCTATGTGGTGCAGTAACTCCTGCCATCTGTGTCCTGGTGGGTAGGTGCAGATGGGGACTCAGAGGGGCAGAAACTTAAGGCAGCCTGACCCCAGATCCCCTTTTGGTGACCTCCGTGCTGTTGCTGCTCAGGATTTTTGACTACAACCCACAGTGAGACGCTTGGATGGGATGACAGTCATGGTCACGAGACTTCCCCCACGCCACTGGTGTGGGCCTAGTGTGTGTGCTTCTCTGACCTGCCACCAAGAGCCAGTGCAGGGGGGCGGTCCGGTCAGTTAACTGCATCCGCCTGAGGGACAGGCCTGCCATGTGAATCCCCTCCCCCAGCCTTCTGATCCACCTGCATGTTCTTAGACCCTCTGTCACCCCACCCCACCCCACCCCTGCACTGGGAGACCAGGCTCCCCTTACTTGACGGAATGCTGTCCCAAGAATCCAGCAGCCCCTCGGCACTGAGTCCAGGGCGCTCAGAGCTGCGTTTGGAGGCAGGTCTGTCTGGGTGAGTGCTGTGGCCCGACTGGCCTCCAAGGGTCAGACCTCCAGGCTCCTCATTGCCACCAAGGCCTGAGCTGCAGCCACAGGGCAGATAGCCAAGCCAGCTGGGCAAATCCCCAGCCCGAAGGAGCTCCATCGCTGGCGTCCGGCCTCAGCCCCCCTTTGTGGTTCTCTGTGACTGGTCTGTGACCGAGGAGGTAGCGAGAGCCAGGGGACAGGGTCTGAGACCAGGGTTCCTCAAGGCCCGAGTTCCCTGCTCCCCAGGAAAGCTGCCGGGCTCAGATCCTTCCAGCTCTGTGTGACTGTAACTTTTCTCCAGAATAGTGCAGCCCGGTACCCTATCATCCAGAATCCCTCACCCCAGGGCTTTCACTCGGACAGTCAGCAATCCACTTCCCTAGGCTGTTGCAGGACAGGCGCTTCTGAATTACCGTGGTGGGGACTGTTTGCCATTGGGGACAGGGCTGGGTACCACCACCTGGGGCTGGTTCTCAGGATTTTTGTTTGGTACTTATTTTTCCTTTCATTTGTTTGAAGTGAACTTGTCTGTCACTAGCGATTCCAAGTCCATGCCAGCAAGTCATGTTTCCTCCTGTGTCAGCCGCTCAGACTCATAGTTTGATCTCCGAGGGGAAGGAGTCTGTTGGGGTTTCCAGGCTGCGAGTCTCCACTCTTGTCTTCCGACAATTTTGTTTTATTATTTTCTTAAAGAAGCATGTTCTATACAGCTCCACAGCCCATCTCCATGAAATGAAGTTGGTAATAATATGCCATTAACCCCCTATAAATGTGGGGCTTTTGCTTTCCCCCCTCCCCAGTATTCCTCTCTCCCTCCATCATTTCCCACCCCGCCCCTCTCTCGGCCCCAGACCTGTCCCTGGCCGCACCAGAGTCTTCAAAGTCTTATCGTTGGGTGTAAAAACGACGTTTCCTTTTTTGCATTTAATTTTGTTTTAGTGTTAGCTGCTGTGGAGTCTGGACCCTTCTCCCGGCAACCTCCTGCCCTCTTATGACTTCTCCATAGGGGTTTTCTGGGCTGTAGTCTGTAGGAAAGCCAATCTCTGGGCTTTTCTTACACATGCCTCTGGGTGGATTTGAACCACCCACTCTTAGGTTAGCAGCTGAGCGCAATGGCTTACTCCTCAGGGAGTAGCCCTTTCTTGCTGACCTGTGTGTGGAAGGATCAGCCGGTGGGGTGGGGCAGGGAAGAGTGGCAGGGCATCCCAGGGCCGAGGCTACGCACATGCAAGGCCCTGGGGAGTTTTGCGCGTCCTGTCCTCCAGGAACGAATGAAGTGCCATTGGATTGATTCCTGTCACCTCCTGCCATCTCAGGTCACTGGCCATCCGATTGTCTGGCTGGAACCCCCTAGGGGGCCCTGAGCCGCAAGACAAGAGCCCAGACTGTCAGTCATTCCCTGGGGACAGCTGGTCTGGGACGGTGGTTCGGCGGGTGCTCTCTGGACCAGGGTCTGCCCCAGCAGAACCCCGAGAGGTGAGGCCCCTACCTGCTGGGCTAGAGGTGGAACCAGGGCATCCTGGGCGGGGCACCCTCTGATTGGCAGATCATGGCCACTGGGCGGAGCTTCTGGGGATTGGCCTGAGCAGAGGGAGATCCTATGTTGAGCTGCAGACTGCCCTGCCCAGCCACTGTTCATGGAAGTGTGATTGGGCAGGAAGTGATTGAAGGCGGGGCCGACTGACAGTCCCTGACCTGGATGGGTAGGCAGGCTGGAAAGTCCAATTGATGCTACTAGGACTGACTAAGCTGAGGGTGTGGGGCATGTCCCCTGATGTGGGGGCATCTGAATTATAAGACATGGCCTCCCTCACACTCGGGTCTTCCTCCACCCCCCAAGTTGCCTAGACCTGGGAGAGTCACTTCTGTCCCTCCCTGCCTGGGTTTCCCCCCAGCCCAGGACTGAAGTTGCTGGCCTGGATGCCGAGACTCTGCAGAGACCCTCGCCTTGGAGCCAGGGGTCCACATTCCCCTACCTGCTAGACTCCAAGGGTAAGCCTGGCTCTGTGTGGCGTCTGGGGGTGACCCTGGGGGTAGATGGGAAACGTCACCCCAGCCATCTGGCCTCCTGTGAGATTGCCCTCTTCTCAGTAGACAGTGACGTGAAGGGCACTGGGCTAGGAGTCCAGAGACTTGGGTGCAGGTCCTGGTCGTGTTCCTGATGGGCTGGGTGACCTTGGGCAAATCCCCAGCCCATCCGGACCTCAGACTCACTCTGAGAGGGGAGGTGGGGCCCACCAGCCCATCCTTGGCTTCATCTTTCTTTTCTCCTCCTCTCTGCTGCCCCTATCCAACCCCCGGCCAGCCTGCCAGTCCTTCCGAGAGGCCCTGGAGGCCTGGGTGAAGGGGCCAGGCACGGAGCCCTTCTACATTCGCGCCAACCTCTCCCTGCCCGAGCGGGCCGACCCCCATGCCCTGTGTGTGAAAGCCCAGGAGATCCTGCGGCTGCTGGACCCGGTATACAAGCGGAGGCAGGAGTGGTTCTGTGCACGAGTGGACCCCCTCACGCTGCGGGACCTGGACCGAGGCACCGTGCCCAACTATCAGAGGTGACGCCGAGCTAACAGCTTGGAGCTGGAGCCCAGGTGGCAGGACTGGGACCTTCCTGCAAGCTTTCTCTATTCTCTGGGCAGTCCATGAGCCCAGAGGGGCCCCTCATATCTCTATGGACACATGACACGCCCCCTCTTCTCTTCCCACGGCCTCTTTCCAGTGCCCAGCAGCTCCTAGAAGTTCAGGAAAAATGTCTGCCCTCCAGCCGGCATCGAAGTCCCCGCAGCAATGTGAGCACCCTGGGTGTGGGCAGGAGAGGGGGGTGGGCCTGAGGACAACTGTTCTCTGGAAGCCTTGGGGGTGGGCTGGAGAAGGAGGTGGGTCTGAGGACATCTGTTCTCTGGAAGCCTTGGGGTGGGGGCGGCGAGAGGAAGGAGAGTGTTCTCCCCACCCCCAATCTCAGGGCTCAATTGAACATCTACCATGCGCCAGGTATGCATTTTCCTAGTACTTTTGAAATAAGCCAAACAGCAGAGCGCCTGCCCAGGGAAGTTGTGAGGGTTAGCTATGCTGGAGTGCCACTGTCCCTGCAAAACGGCCCTTTTCCACGTTCTTGGGGGTGGGAGCGGACAGGGCAGGGTTTAGAGGGAGGTGTTCTCTGTAGAGTTAACTACTTAGGAGGCGGAGGGGCTGGAGTGATTTTGAGAGCACGCCCACTGAGGCTAACCGGCACCACCGCAGACTTCCTCGTCTGTAAAATGGGACAGTTTTGCTCTCTATCTAGTAGGTTAACAGGAACCTTGGTGCCGTAGTGGTTATGCACTGGACTGCTAGCTGCAAGGTCAGCAGTTTGAAACCACCAGCCTCTCTGCAGGAGAAAGATGAGGCTTTCTACCCCTGTGTAGAGTTACAGCCTCAGAAACCCACAGGGGCAGTTCTGCCTGGTCTCAAGAGGGTGGCTGTGAGTCAAGTGGGCTTGATGCCAGTGGGAAGCTCATTGGTGGTCTGAGGCTCGCTGTCTGCCATGACACTGGCACAGACGGGCGTGAGGCATTACAATGCCATGTCCTTGCAATATGGGGTCCCTTCATCCCGTCCACGGGCACATGGCTAGTTCGTGAGCAGAGCCCCTGAAGTCTGTCACTCTATGCTTCCCAGGCAGGATCGGCACCTTCCCACAGAAGCCAAGTCTGCTGTGCAGAGAGGGGGAGAGGGTGTGTGTGTGTGTATGCGCCCTTAGGTGGCTCCTGTACCTGTGCTGCAGGCTCCTCATCCATAAAGTGGGAGCAGGCCTGCCTGTCTCTAAGACTCCTCCAGCTGTGCTGGATTCTTTCCTGGCCCTTAGGGGTGATTGTCCTCAACTGTGTGGGGGGACGGTGGGGGGGCAGGGGGTGGCACATAGCACTGCCCTGGTCAGAAGTCTGTTGACCCAGGCAGTGGCTGGGGGAGGTCCATTTCTTTCCTTCTCTCCCTGAAGATGGGGTGGAGCTGAGCTTTCAGGTCACCTCTCCCTGCCCCCCAACACACACACCCCTACCTCTTCCCCAGCTGAAGAAGCGAGCCCTGGACCAACTCCGCCTGGTGAAGCCCAAGCCCTTGGGGGGTCCCGCCGGGGACTCCCCAGAGCAGCTGCTGCTGGAACCCTGCTCAGGTGAGTGCCCAGGTGTAAAGGTACAGAGCATGTCACCTGATGGCTGAGAGGGTGTCCCTGGAAGGGTCTACTGTGGAGTTGCACTAGAAAGAACGGGTCTCCCTCTGGTGGACAGATGGATTGGCATGGCTAAGAGAAGGGGTGTTTGTGTGTGTGTGTGTGTGTGTGTGTGTGTGTGTTGGGTGTGTGTATGTGAGAGAGACAGAGAGAGAGATTGAGATTGATTGAGGGTCTACCCATGGCTGGATGCACACACACCTGGCCTTCCCCTGTCCCAGAGACTATGTGCAGCTGTACTTGAGCTATGTGGTGAGTTTCCCAGAGAGGACTGATCAGGGCAATAGGATGAGGCCCTAGACAAGAGTGGGGGACAATGGGCTGGGGGCTCACTGAGGGAGTAGTGACTACTTGGAGGGTAACAGGAAGACTTCCTGGAAGAGGCGGTTTGGCCTGGGGCCTTCAAGGGTGAATAGGAGTTTGTTTCAGGCCAAGGGCACAGCTTTTGCAAAGACCCAGAGATGTGACTGTGTGGTGTGTTTAGAGAGCCTTCCCCTTGGAAGTGCACCAGGCACAACTCCATCCCCCAGGGGACCCTGTGGCCTACTCATATGGGGGCAGACTACAGTCAATGAACTGTGCTTGGGACGTCACCACACAGGGTGAGGCGGGTCAAGGAGAACACAGACCAGAGGCTCTGCTCTCTGGGGGCCAGGCAAGGGTAGCAGGGCTTTGCCTGAGCCCAGGAGTGCTGGGGTGAGGCTGGTGGGCCTTGGCGCACCAAGGCTAGTGATTGGAGGCAGTACTTTTGGACAGAGAAGCTGGGAGGCAGGAGTGGGGTCGGATGGTGGGGGGCTCATCATGGCCCCAGGCTGAATCACTGTGCTACATCATCACCTGTCTGGCTGCTGCAGCTGCTGTTAGTGCCCATCCAGTCGGCTCGGACTCATAGCGCCCCCATGCCCAACAGAACGAAACACTGCATGGTCCTGCGCCATCTTCACCATGGTTCCGATGCCATCCTTGCCTCCAAAGAGCACTCTGGGGACCCCCGTCTTCCCAGACAGATGGGTTTGTTCTTTCAGCAGTCCACGTTCTTCTCCAGCACCACCGCTCCATGCATCCATTCTTCTTCTCTGGTCTTCCTTATGCACTGTCCAGCTTTCCCATGCGTACGAGGCCATGGAGAATACCGTGGCCTGGGTCAGGCCCACCTCAGTCCCCAAAGGAACATCCTTGCTTTCCAATACTCTCAGAGGTCTTGTGCAGCAGATGGACCTGGTGCGGAGTGACTTTCGATCTCTTGACCGCTGCTTCCATGAGCACTGATGATGGATCCAAGCAAGACAAAATCCTTTGACGACTTCAACTTTTCCTCCATGTATCATGATGTCTCCTAGTGGTCCCGTTGCATAGCACAGCTTGTTAATAAGCCTTCCTCAAGCCCTGATACCACATCCATCCTCATATGATCCAGCTTCTCTGCTGATTTGGTCGGCATATAAATTGGACAAGTGTGGTGAGAGGATACAACCCTGATGCACACCTCTCCTGATTTTAAACCAGGCACCATTCCCTTGTTCTGTTCACACAACTGCCTCTTGATCCAGGTACCGATTCCACATAAAGACAATGGAGTGTGCTGAAATTTTCCTTCTTCTCCATGTTAGCCACAGTTTATTATGGATATTCTCTGCTTTGAGCCAAGATCCATCTGACATCAGCTACGATACTCCTTGTTCCACAGTCTCTTCTGAGTCGGCCTGTGCTTCTGGCAGCTCCCTGTCAGTGTGCTGCCACCACTGTTGCTGCATGATCTTCAGCAAAGTGTTACTCGTGACCCGCGTGGCCAATACTGACTTTTCCCTGAGAACCACAGGAAGTCACTGGTGCCCTGAAAACACAGAAACCGAGCTCACTGTCATCGAGTCGATTCTAACTCATAGTGACCCTCGAGCGCAGGGTACGACTGCCCCAGGTGGGTTCCTGAGACGGCAAATAGCCCCACCGTTCTCCTGTGGAGCACCTGGTGATTCAAGCTTAGGACCTTGCGGTTTGCAGCTCACCATGTAACCCTGTGCCCCCAAGGAGAAGACTCCTAGTATCTGATGTCAGTTAAAAAGCCTCCCTCTGGCTGCACAGGAGCCCTGGTGGCGTAGTGGTTATGCACTGGACTGTTGCAAACTGCAAGGTAAGAGGTTTGAAACTACAAACTACTCCAAGGGAAAAAGACCAGGCTTTCTACTCCTCAGAAGAGTTACGGCAACCCACAGGGACAGTACTACCCTGACCTATAGGGTCGCTATGACTGAATGGCATTGAGGGGTTTGTTTTCTCGATGCAGTGTAGAGAATGGCCTGTAGGGGGCGAGTGTGCGCCTGAGGACCAGTGAGGTGTTCACTACAATGGTCTCAGCTGGGGCATCCGCATGGGAGCACATGTGCATCTGTACACGTGAGAAGGCTTAGAATGTAGGAGAGGGTGGGGGAGACAGGCTGTGGTTTCTGGATGTCCGAGGAGCCAGGCTCTGCCTACTCCTTCCTCTCCCCTGCCCCAGAGCGGGAGCGAAGCCTCAAACCCTACAGCCTGGTGCGGCCCCTCCTGGTGTCAGCCCTGCGGCCCGTGGTGCTGCTGCCTGAATGCCTGGCGCCCCGGCTCATCCGCAACCTGCTGGACCTGCCCAGCTCCCGGCTGGATTTCCACGTGTGTCCAGCAGGTGAGTCATGGTACTGGGGAGGGGTGGGGAATGAGGTGAGTGACACTGGAGCAGCCAGGCCACCAGCCTGTGTTTCTGCCCTTCCTCCTGTCCTCTGCAGAAAGCCTCTCTGGGGAGGAGCAGTACGCACCCTCCGCCCCTGGAGCCCCCAAGGCCCGGCCTGCCCCCCCTGGCCTGGGCAGCAGGATCCGCACCATCCAGGAGTCCGTCGGGAAGGTGTGTATCGGGTGCGGTGCAGTCTCGCAGGTGGGGCGGGGAGGCGGGCTGTCTTCCTGGGTGTGGGAGTCAGAGCCGAGCAAAGGGCCTTGTTCAGAGCCTGGGCAAGTCTCTTCCCTTCTCTGGGCCTCCAGTTTCCTCCCCTGTGAAATGGGTGGATGAGGGCAGTGGACCTGTGTGGAGCTGCTGGGGGCCAGTGACTTCTGCCACCTTCCCTTGTCCTTGCCCTGGCCCTGGTCACTGCCTACCAGGGAGCTGTGAGGGTGGGGGTGGGTGAGGTCAGAACCTGTCTACACACGGGGAGACTGAGGCCGAGAGATGGGGGGGTGGGGAGTGGGGTGACAGACCTCCCCAGATCTTCTGAGTGTTTCCCTCGCTATCAGGGTGGGGCATGGACCCATGGGAGGCAGGGAGCAGGGTGTTTGGGCCGGGACTGAAATGGAACCTGGGTGTCCTCTCCCCCGAGAAGAAGCACTGTTTGTTGGAGCTGGGGGTGCGGGGCGTGCGAGAGCTGGTGCGCAGTGAGATCTACCCCATTGTGATCTACGTGGAGGTGACGGAGAAGAATGTCCGGGAAGTCAGGTGAGCAGGTGGGAGAGGCCCCAAGGACGGGGGTGGGGAGTGGGGGGGTAAGGCAGTTTGTTTCAGTGTTAGTTCAGCTGTCTGTCCATCCTCATTGTATGTATGTGCCAGCGTCTTGTTTCCATCTCCCTCTCTGTCTTCCCCTCCTCTCCTCTCTCTGACTAGCCGCACTTTTGTGGGTCCCTCTGTCCCTGTCCCTTTTTGTCCCCTGACCCAGCTGACTGATGCCCGCTCCCCTCTCCGCAGGGGTCTGCTGGGTCGGCCTGGCTCGCGGGACTCGGAGCTGCTGCGGCAGTGCCGTGGTTCTGAGCAGCTGTTGTGGGGGCTGCCCTGCTCCTGGGTGCAGGTGCCCAGCAGCGCCTGGGTGCACGCGGAGGAGCTGGCCAAGGTGGTGCGCGGCCGCGTGCTGCAGGAGCAGGCCCGCCTGGTGTGGGCCGAGTGCGGCGGTGGGGCCCTGCGCCGCAACGGCAGCAGCGAGGCCTGAGAGGCCCCTCCAAAGCCCCAGTGCCCTCCAGCACTTCGGAAGCCGCTGGCGGGGACCCTGGTGCTTGTGCTGGGCCCCGTCTGCCTCCCCACCCTGAGCCTTCTGGGCCTCCGGACTCTCAGACGCCGGAGCCGGGCTCTGGGTGCCCACCTGAGTTCGTCGTTGGCCCTGACGAGCTGTGGGAGCCCCGGGGGCAGAGCTTCCGCTGCCCCCGTTCTTGCTGCTCTGGGCCTTCCCCTGCACCCCACCTGTGTGTCCGTGTGTCCCCCTAGCGTCCTCGCCGGAGCGCACGCTGCCAGGCCCTCCTGCAGCGGGGGTCCTGTCCACTCCCCGGTTGCTGTGTGCTGGCCCGTGCACACGAACTCTCCGGGTTCCCTCCCTGCCCACGATGCTGTCACACGTGCCCCTGTGCCCTTGTGTGCAGGTCTGCCCCGTGTACCGGCGGATCTGTGTAAATGTCCTGCCCGCTCCCTTGACCCCAGGCACTAGCACTCACGCGTGCACAGAGCCGTGTTCGGCACGCCCGCTGGAACGTGTGTGTGCGCGTGCGTGCGTGCGTGCGTGCGTGCATCCATCCTCAGGGCAGCTGGGGAGGAGCTGCTGCTCCGCGCATCACCAGAATGGATCAGAATGTAGAGCTCGTGGTTGCTGGTGGCCGTTTAACTCAGAGGCTGCACACAGGAAACATTAAACACTGTCACGGACCTGGTGTCTTTCTGTTTGTTGGTGTCCCGGACTGGGGCCCCGATTGTCTCCCATTCCTCTCCGCCCTCCCTCAGGCTGATCCACACCCACCCCTCAGGCTGATCCCCCCTCTCGGGTCCTGTGCTGCCCACGGGGAGGGTCCGGTTTCTCTCCTGACTCATCCCTGAGCCGCAGGCCATCTGTGCTGGCATCCCCTTACCTGCCGGTTGACCCAAAGAGGCCTCAGAGTTGGGCGGTCCCTGCAGCCTCTTCTCATCCTTCCCTGAGTGTCCACCTGCAGTGGGGACACCGGGCAGCGTAGGAGCACCCCTGGGTGTACAGGGCACATTGGGGAGCACAGCTGCCCCACGTCAGATGTGGGCATGGGATGGGCTAGGAGCTTATTGGAGGAGGTGCCCCTTGAGATGGGGGGTTTGGGAATCTTCCTCACAAGACCTACAGCTGCAGCCCTGGGTGCGGGCCACAGTGGTGAGCCCTTGGCTACTTTCTTTAAGATGCTTGTAGTTTATTTTTGAAATTGTTATTTTGTTGCTCCGACGCTCACTCATGATCATTGAGTCGGTGCTGACTCATTGTGACCTTCTAGGCCAGGGTAGAACTCAGGTTTCTGAGACTGAACTGCTACCGGAGTAGAAAACCTCGTCTTTCTTCCTCTGAGCAGCTAGTGGTTTCGAACTACTGACCTTGTGATTAGCAGACCAATGCAGAGCCCCCTTAGACCACTAGGGTGTATCCTGAGCTGTTCATAGACCAATCCAACTGAGTTGATCCTTGCAGAAGTCCTGAGAAGACAGGCTGTGAAGGGCCTGGCTCCTTGGGAGGAGAGTATTTTGTTTCTTCTCGGCCTAAGCAATTCACGAGTCATTTAGTGTTTCCATATAGGGAATTAATAGATACTTACTGAGCATTTACTGTGTGTCAGCACTGGTGAGTAGGTGATTTCAATATGTACATATACTTATATGTTAAGTATTAAGGCAGCAGACGGACATCAGGCCTCTACTCAAGTCCTCCTTCAACACAAGAACAGTTTGTTCTAATAACCCGGCGTTCTGTGATGCTAACCTTCCTGACATGATCCTTGCAGACAAAATGGGTGCATATGCAAATGCCTGGCTACCAAAATATATAGTGTCCGGGATCTTAAAGGCTTGAAGATAAACAAGTGGTCATCTAGCTGAGAAGCAAGAAAGCCCCCATGGAAGAGGCACACCAGCCTGTGTTCATGAGATGTCGATGGGATCAGGTATCAGGCATCAAAGAATCAGAACAAAAAAATCATATCAATGTGAATGAGAGGTACCACACAGTGGAGACCCAAAGCCCATCATAGACAATTGGACATCCCCTTACAGAAGGGTCATAAGGAAGAGATGAGCCAGTCAGGGTGCAGTATAGCACCAATGAAACATACAACTTT